AGTGGTCAGTTTCAAAGTGCGGAAACATATGTCATACAGTGCCTCGTTATCAATACAGAACGTCTCCTCCGTATTCTCCACCAGCTGGTGTACTGACAGAGTGGCATTGTAGGGTTCCACAACAGTGTCGGAAACCTATAGGGGGAACGCAAAAACGTGGATAAAAGAGTGAGCCGGTTATGGAACATTGTGGCTGTATCACCAGAGAAAAGGCATCTGGGGTGAAAGAAAACAAATCGATGAATAAAATTTCGAAATTCGACTGCCGAGCAAACAAATAAGTTTGGAACTTAAAGCTTTCCGAGCCGTCTCTCTTGACAATGCCAATCGCACACCAAAGGCCGGTATTAGGATAGAGCAGATAGAGTTTACCGGTTTTCTCGAGGCACGAAAATGCTGATGATATAACATGCAGGCTCCCAGTCATACATTAAGTCCTCAAACGCTCAGTGAGCCCTAATTAGACAGGTGCACTAAAAAACGCAACTCGTATTTCAAATCACCAGCGCGACTGTTCGTATCTTTCTTCTTTGTTATAAACATTTCGTGTAATGAACAGCAGACGGGGTAAACCCCATAGTCGTGTAGACCTGCTATTGGGTGACAGAAACCGGTAACCTAAGCCCCGGTACTTGGAGTAGAGAACCACATAAGGCACCGCTAGGTTAGACCTGGTATTGAACCGAACGCCAGCAAAGCTGTTCATCACCAAAGTAGGGAGGCACTGGAGCAGTTCGAACCTCGGTCCATAGCACACCAATGACAGCAACTTAACCACTACGCTACCACCACCCAAAAAGGAATGGTCGCAACACTCTGTATTCCAGCTGGCCAACCATGTAAGTACTAACTGCTAAAAGTTAACTTCAGCTCTAAACCGCACACGTCCATCTGCTCAACTTCGACTTGCTGCCTCTACTAGTGGAATGAATCTGGTCAGACCTATACAGACATAGTTGGCAACCTGGTTCTGCCTCAGACACTACATACCAGTTCAACTGCAGTTGCGGTTATGTATACCTAGGGAGAACCGACCGTCAATTGTCACAACGAAGGATCGGTTGGTGAATTCGATGAGACAACCCACACTCAATAACCATGCGGATACATGGAACCCGGAGTAATCAATTGCAAAGCAGATCATAACAACCAAAGGCATAATTGACCCCGATTCCTCTTCGGAACCCTTATTACTTAACTGAGATACAAAACTGTTGATAGTTCAGAAAAGCGTTAATCAGATAAAAATAACCCGTTTTGTGCGCCCAAGTAATTGACGCAATCAATTCACTTGTCGTGGAGTTGACCTGTTGTATGTAATTTTAATAGCCCCTGGCTATCTGTACACATCCGTCCACCAAAATTTATCAACTCATGCGCCATATATGTACGCTTGCTTGTTTTGCGCCAGTCATTGAGAAGACTAAACGAAATGTCAACATCTCGCGACATGTGCCTTTTTCGGCCTTGATGCGATGTAAAAAGTGGACTGTGTTTCAAATTTAAGGTGAAACATACAACTATGTGTGCTTTTGGTTATTAGTGCTTTTTTCCTGTCATACTTTATTGTTCGTCCACAATTTCCTCTAGCATACTAAAAAGGATTGCATTCCTCTTTGCCGCGGTTTATCAGTAATTAGCCATAATTTATCGTATTCCCATAAACGCTGTGATCACAAAACTGTGATTTTACGAATATCCCCGGTGATAATATATAACGACCTAAGTCATCCGCTCAATCCCGACCTATCTGCCTGCACTCTCAAGCTACAACCGAATCTAGTCATCACAGCTTACCCTTCTATATAAAAATCAATGGTGATGCAACGGTTCCTTATTTAGCTTGTATTCTCCCTGGAAAGAAGGTCCTAAACGAATTAATTTTAAATCCACAATGATTTTTATTTATGCTTTATGATTGTAGGCACAGTTACTTGCGCAATCAACGTCGTACTGATTGCCAATGACGCAAACGTGTCGATGGCCCTTTTCTTCTCCATCCTATACAATTTTTATTAACCTAATTGGTCGTAGTCAGATCAAGTCGCCAAATAAGTGCGTAGAGAATCCTGCACCTCCGACATAAAAAAACATCCCTTAAGTGAGAAACTAGACACGCACACGCATACAACCCTCATACGGAATGCACCGCTAACATAAGCACTAAGTAGGCCAGTCGTGCTATTTTCGGGTCACCCGTGGTTAAACGACCTCTATTTGGTCGAGTTCAATTATGGTCAATAGACTGAAGTTGTGCACAACCTGCAGTAGAAAAAATGCGCATAGATCCACGGGATTGACACGTGATCAAAACGAGACAAGCCAGCTTTCTGGACCAGATGGGTGGAGTCATTCACAAACGTGAACGTGTATTTGTGAGGATACCGTAAAATGTTAGAACCGGAAGCAAATCAATAATACGTTTTACACAGCTCTCATAGGTTTAGGTACACGGAGAGTATCAGAATGTACATAGCAAGCGAACACAGACGACTGGGTGGATGTGACTATACGAAATTATTTGTTTAGACATATGGTAGGACATAATTAAAGTTGCCGAAAACAGTGACAAGAGATGAGCAACATACTATGCGACACCGTTGGAACAATGAGAGATACACTGGGAGCATAGTGCGGCAATTATCCTATTATGCAAGCGATAAAACAAAAAGGAGCAAACACAAGCATTTAAGCTACTCATAAAAGACTAAAGGAACCTAAATGCTACGAGTAAAACCTGGCTAAAAACAACCTTCTAGCCTCATTCTTAGTCACTGACCTTAGGTGAAGGGACAACCGAGAACGTGGCCATAATGCGATCCGGGTACTCTTCGCGAATCTTCGAAAGCAGCAGCGTGCCCATACCTGATCCAGTCCCACCACCCAGAGAATGGGTCAATTGGAATCCTTGCAAACAGTCACATGACTCTTTCTCCATTTTCTTTTCGACTCCACTTTCAACTTTCCTTTCTTCTCCTATTCTTCTTCCCAATGGGCAGCCAAAAGACAGCGACCAAAACCGGCGCAACGAAAATGCATGGTTAATGGTTGTTCAAACTGAAAACTGAACAAGCTAAATTCTGTCATCTTTAAATAGGCTGGGGAAAGACCACCGATGTCGGGCGCTTTGTGACGTCCCAAGGCTTGGATTTCCGTCTCAGAAAGTGGGTCTGTCTCAACACACAATGGAACGTGTATGGAAGCAGTCGTTGTTTCGCATTTCTTAACTGCCATAAGGAAGAGTATGGATGGGAATATCCGACAAAATGTTTGTACATCAACTCCTTTTCTTAGTGCGCATATTCCAACGCAAATATCGGTTTGCATAAAGATACAGGATAAACAGAAGATGATTCAGAAAAAAAATGCTAAAGAGACATTCCAATGGCACAACCGGAACAGGAATGCAAGGGGCTTATGAGCGATATCCCGTGCAACACTCTTGGAACAATGAGAGATACACTGGGAGCATAGTGCGGCAGTCATTCTGTATCACATCCGATAAACGAAAAGAAGCAATTTTACACATGCATGGCACCTAATCTGGAAGATAGTAAAAAAACAGAAGGAGAATCCGGTCAACAACTTTCAGAACAGACTCTTCGACACTGACCTTAGGTGAGGGCACAACCGAGAACGTGGCCATAATGCGATCCGGGTACTCTTCGCGAATCTTCGAAATCAGCAGCGTGCCCATACCTGATCCAGTCCCACCACCCAGAGAATGGGTCAATTGGAATCCTTGCAAACAGTCACATGACTCTGATTCCTTACGAACAACGTCCAACACCGAATCCACAAGCTCTGCACCCTCAGTATAGTGACCTTTGGCCCAATTATTTCCCGCTCCCGATTGACCAAAGATAAAATTGTCCGGGCGAAATAGCTGTCCAAATGGTCCAGCACGCACAGTATCCATTGTACCCGGTTCCAAATCGATCAAAATGGCACGTGGCACGTACTTTCCAGCCGCAGCTTCATTGTAGTACACGTTTATTCGTTCCAATTGAAGGTCTGAATCTCCGTGATAGATTCCATTCGGATCGATACCATGTTCGTCAGAGATGACTTCCCAAAACTAGCGAGAACAAGAAAGTGATGGGACCATCAGAACACTATGCCAAAGGGCGGTAGGCATGAGCAGTTTTGGCCGTTCAGATTCTCAAGAAACCGCAGAATAAATATTTACAACTCACGAGTGACAGCCATAACAAAAAAGCCCGTGTCCCAAAATGAAAGCAGAAGTTTTCAAAAGGGTAAGAAATTCTATGGACGTAGATGCACGGAATTCGATGTTTCAGTCAATATGACAAACAGAATAAATCATAAAAAGTCTGTCGACAGTCCAGTCGGTTAACCTTCTCGATCATGATATTAAATCAGACGCTGAAATCCATAATGCACTAAATTCTGAGCGTTTTAGGCTTCATTTTTGGTTACAAGCGACTGGAAAGAACGTCCTCCACCCTAGACTGAGAAAAGTGCTCATCATATATATATAGATGACTTGACAGTGAGAATTATAGAAAACGTGCGCGATAACCAATGTTGGGACATTCTACGACAGAGAAGACATATAAGATTGAGGAACCACGTAACTGGTCGTACATTCCAGCACATCCTAAGAAATCCACGCAACCTTTGGTAGATTCTTACGGGTTGACTTCGTTTGCTCATGTAGCCACATTCGGTATGCGTTTTGCACCTTCAAAGTGTAAAATGTTACTACAGGACTGGGTTGGTCCAGCACCCAACCTCACTCTTACTGGAGAATTAATAGAGCAGGTGAATAAGTTTTGTTATCTGGGCAGCTACATCTCACCCGATGGACGCATCACGGATGAAGTATCAGCTCGCATACAGAAGGCTCGGTTGGCACTTGCTAACTTGAGACATCTGTGGCGCCGTCGCGACATCCGGCTGTCTGTGAGGGGTCGAGTGTATGCCGCGACAGTTCGGCCAGTTCTGCTATACAATGCAGAAACTTGGCCATTAAGAAAACAAGATAAAGACAGACTGTCGGTGTTTGAACACCACTGTCTACGCAGCATTGCACGAATCTGGTGGGGTAGCCGGATGAGCAATGCTGATATTAGGGACAAAGTTTTGGGTAAATACGGTCGCCCACTGGAGCAAGTTGTCGACCTCCATAGATTACGTTGGCTGGGACATGTGCTACGCATGTCACCAGGTAGGTCACCACGGCGAGCGATGTTGGCCGAAGAAGATACCGAGTGGAAAAAGTCAAGGGTGGTCAAGTTAAGACTTGGCACGAGGGTACGAAAACCCTAACCAGGAGTTTAGGTCACATAGGTCCTGTTAGGCTCCCTGGCTGGGGACCTCGGGATGATCGTAACTGATGGTTAAAGACACTGAGCGATATGGCTGGGTGTCGTAAACAGTGGCGTTCGTGCATCTCCTCAATTTCTTCCCAACCTTAGTCCACTGAACTTCTCCATTTTCTTTTCGACTCCACTTTCAACTTTCCTTTCTTCTCCTATTCTTCTTCCCAATGGGCAGCCAAAAGACAGCGACCAAAACCGGCGCAACGAAAGTGCATGGTTAATGGTTGTTCAAACTGAAACTGAACTGAAACTGCTCATGGAAACAGGCCAACTCTTGCAACACTTTTGCCTTCCTGGAACTGGTGGCCCTAGTCTCGGGTATATGACCACGATACTTCAATGTAGTTTATGGCAAAATGAATGCGAATCGCGACCTCCTTTAAAGTACACCAGATTGAACGAGAGATTACATCGAATGACAATTAACAAAAGCTTAATGACTCTCAGTTTTAGGTGAATCTATGGGGACATCGCCAAAGTAACTCCAGAGAAATGTAGCACCCACTAACCCAATATTAGTGTTATAAAAGCAACATTAACAAAATGCTCCAAGCGGAACAAACCAAGCCCATGAAACGGTCACGAGACTAACAGGATTGTGGTCTGGAGCGTGGAGTCCGCATTAGGGGACGAACTGGTCACGTGGTTTAATTTCGCCACAAGCGGTAAGAATAGATTTCAATGAAACTAATCAAAATTAAAATGGTAAGAGTGAAAATAAAATATGCTCAATCACTTACCTCACATTCCCAAGCCAATAAGTGATCCCCTATCATGAACCGTAACCGTTAACCAGCCGCTCAGAGAATGGACGCGTAAAACGGGGAGAGAACAGCACAACACATAGCTGTTTGCGAACATGCACCCAGACCGTCAAACTTCTCAGAGTTCCCGAACGGTCGGTCATTCTCTACAAAGCACATCCAAAGTAATATGCCACAACAGTCCAACGTCCTCACCAATTCAATGAAACAAAAAATCAATGAGTAAACTATTCCATATATGACGAATCAAAAGTGATGAATCGAAATTCAAGCAAAATGGTGAAGTTGCATATTGATCGTTTAGGACTGTTTAGTTGATTCGCTTTGCATTTCCACACGTCGATCGCTTCACAGTCGAGTCGTGCTAGTTAAACTATCGATCAGGCTGGATTGGTATGTTGCTAGGACCACATCAACAGGCCGATCCCATTTAGAAGCCTAACACCCGACAGCTACCGAAGGAGTTATTCCAAACACATTTGGATATATTCGTATATAAATGAATCTAGCTAGAATAATCTGAAATTCAAGATACGCAACCGGAAGATGAACAATGACTAAGATGTGTGGCGTTTGTTGAACCCGCCGGAGAATTTGACAAATGATGGGTTAAAAGGAAATGAATCACCAATAGCGCGAAAGGAAGAATGTTTTACGTGGTCTATCAATTTATTTGTCAACATACAACCTACATACATATTTCAATGGATCTCCTTTGTAATTATAGCGACCTCTTTCGTTCGAACTGATGAATCAAACTGAAGAAAAATACAATAATCCAATTTAAAAAGTATGTCTCTATCCAATACATTGCTTTTCTGATAGGAAAATTGGACTAGTTAAACCAGACAGACTATAGATGCTATTATTAGCCCTACGGGAAAGGGGGACACACGAATATAATCCATGCACAGATTTTACAACACAACGCTGTTCATCTTTGTCCAACATCATCCACCACTTGTTACATCAAATCAACGGCAACATGTCGCCCTGTTTGAATACACAAAATTAGCCTCACACAAGTGATAAATGTCATCGAAAAGTTATGATATGACCTTACGACTTCAAATTAAATGAATGTTGGAACCGAATACAACATTTTCTAGATCATAAACAAGCAGTAGCGCATCACAACGTTCTGCAACAGTCAGAGAACAATATTATGCCAAACACAGACTCACCTTCGAACCAATCTGGTTCCCACATTGTCCCGCTTGCATATGCACAATTTCCCGCATTTTGAATAAAAGATCAGATCCCGAATCAGTAGATGAACACACCAAGACAAACGAACGTGAGGCGCAATCCGTCCGGTTGAAACCTAACCGTGTTTTATCAACCACCACCAGGTCTGTTCGCCATGATCGATATTCAGCGCATAAACACGGTACGATCGATAGACAGACATGCACGTGCACGCGCTACACCCACGCGCCTACTTTCTATCCCCATTGGTCATTGGCCCTGCTGACGATGAACGACCACCGCACCACCATCACATGTCAGCACGAGACGGCGCTCACCATGTCGAGTGATTCATCCTCGAATCGGTGTTGGTAAATACGATGACGCGTGTTGCCCAATCACTGGCGCTCTCGGCTCCCTTTTAAAAAAAAAATACTATTTGTGTCCGTTTGCTCTTGTCCTTGGGCTGTTGTTGTCGTCGAAATAGCCAATGCTCTAAGATCCAAAAAGATGCATGGTAGATTGTGATAACCAACAAAGAGCACTGGACAGCTCTTTTGTCCTGTAAATTTATTTCTCACAGTAAACGCATGACTGCCGAAATTAACAAAAACTGCTACATAAGAGTAGTGGAGGATTTGATTCAAGTTTAAAGGGAAATTCATCGTGTATAGAGCAAATGCAACGGGAACTGAAATTTTATTGTATTTGAAGCACTCCACAGCAGTCACCAGAATTTGATGCATTTATTCATTTGTATTGTATTGGGGCATCTCATCGACACCGGGCACAAGATCGATCCGGAGAAGGCTTTCGATGNGCCATTCGCTTACTAGGCCCCGATCTGTGTGCCCAAAAGCGTTTGGTGCAGGCACTCCAATTGCCTTGGCCGTGTGTGAAAACCAAGACGGAACATGACGTGTCACTTGATTCAAGTGGTTAAAGGTCACATTAAACTCCCTCCGACCCACCCATCCACACACACAAACGTATTGTATTGTATTGTGTTTAACTTTTGCAAGCACTAGAGCTCACGTTTCAGTTGAAAAATCATACACGCTAACCGTCACAATGTACATAATCAACGGGGAGAAAAGTTTTTACAGGCATGGGGATATTTCATAATCCAAGGTTAAGACAAAGTTCACTTAGTGTCCGCCCTTTGTTTATGAGTAGACGAGCAAGATACGGTATGGGTGACTTGCGGTATGCGTTAATTCGAGATGATATTTGGCGGAATTGGGAGCGTGTTGAATGATGGGAACGACATCGTGTCAGTTTTGCGTGCAATGGGTGGTCAGGATCTCTGAGAATCCTCTCAGCAAATTTCACACAGGAAGTTACGTGATACTCTGAAAGTTTTACAGCTAAATCATTCACAGGAATAGAAGAGACACGATAAATAATGGTTAGACCGCGGCGTAAGACTTTGAAATCCTGTTTGAGTAACCCAGGAAAAATAACTGGGGAACAGTAGAGTAAGATGGGGAAAACACACTGATAAACAAAGGTAGAAATAACTGACTGGGATGCGCGAAACTGCCTGAGCTTTCGTATTTGAAATGAAAAGCGCCGCAGTTTGCCAGTGCAGTTGTGGATGTGGGTTGACCAATGAAGATTGATATCTACGGTTACACCAAGATATTCGACAGAGTTTACTCTGGATAAAGGATTGTTATTAATCACTGTGGGGTCTGTCGGATATGGAGAGCGAGCAAAACTATATAAACACTGAGCACATTTACTGGGGTTTAGGGTTAGCCCCAATGAGGAGGAGAATGACTGAATTTGATCAAGATTATCGGTAGAAGAGCTTAGATCAGAGTAAGAAGTAATGGGTTGGCACAACACGACATCATCTGTATATTTCAAAATTCGGGCTGGAGAAATACAGGGAATATCACAAATATAAGTGGCAAATAAGTATGGGGATAGCACAGCTCCTTGAAGGACCCCGGAGTTGTTGACTAAGGGTTTCGATATGGCCTTCCCCAATCTAGTGGTTTGTACCTTATCGGTAAAATAGTTGGATAACCAAACTAACAACTGCGTGGGGCATTCAAACGATTCCAGTTTTTGTAACAACTTAGATCGAGGAAGGGACAAATGTAGAAGAGTGGTCCAGAAATACACACCGAACAGACTTAACAGAGCTGTTCCACGATTTAGTGATGAAATGAATGAGGGTAGAGACTGCGTCCAGGGTGGATCTATTAGGTTTGTAAGCAAACTGTAGCGGATCACTGGGAATTTTTGTGGACTACTGAAGGCGTTTGAAGATGGCCTTGTCAGTCAATTCAAGAGCTGAAGATGTTAATGCAATGGGACGAAAATGTTTGGAAAGGATAGAAGATTTGGATGCTTTGGGAATTGGTATGATTGTGACCTCCAACAGTCGGGGATGGTAGAAGTGTGAATTTACAATTTACGATGGAGGTAATTGCCCCAGCTAGGGAAGCAGCACCAAATTTGAAGAGGGCTGGACGTAAGTCATCCCGACCTTCAGAGGAAGACGAATTGCAGATTTTTAAAAGTTTTAGCTCATCACAATATGAGAGAGGTTCCACGTTACAAACATTTTGTGGTGAGTAGGCAGGAAGAATGTCCGATGATTGGCGCAGGAATGCTTCATTGAGATCATCAGCATCCACATTCAGCTTCAACCGTACGTTCTTCTTTCCACAGAGGAGTTTTCTACGTTGCCATAGGTGTTTGCTGTTTCCAGTCCTCAGAATTCGATCAGAGAATAATGCGGTCAATCGTTTTAATTCAGCTTTGATAAGCCTAAACAAATACCTAACAGCTGAAGCATTGTGAGACTTGTACTCGCGTTCCTTTTGTCGTCGCAGAGACTTTAGTAGGGGAGAGTTTATCCTTCCGTTGAACACATAGAGACGTTGAATAAGACAGCAGTAATTAAAAATGACATTGATTGTTTGGGTGAGTAGGGGAACACATGTGAGCAGAGAAGATGATGAAAACCATAGGGAGGCCTGTCTGAGAGATTCATTCAGGAGAGAAACACGTGTAGGTGAGAAGTTACGACAACGAAATCTGATGTGCTCAGATCGGGAGAAAGATTTGTATGCACTATGTGAATAAACTTTAGGTCGAACTAAGAGTAAGCAATGGTCACTGGAAGAAATAAGAGCTTTTAGTGCTAAAGAAAAAGGGTTGGGTGGTTGGTAATTACTCTGTTCGATATAGAGTTACCTCTTGTGGGAGGGTGACAGAAATCTGTCGTACCCAATGATAAAAGTGGATAAGTGCTAGTATGGTTGAAGTCACCAAAGATTATACGCAAGTTAACATCTAAAAGTGGTGCAATAAAAGGTATGAACGAGTCGAAAAATAACATACGATCTGAGTGTGTACAGGAAGGAGCTATACACAAGTTAGTTAAAATTGTGTGAGTAAAACGGGAAAATCTAGGGTGACAATGTATAGTTAGGCACTCGATACCTTTTGAGCAGTACTGATGAACAACATGGGAATTGTGACACCAGAAGACGTTGACATATGTCGCAACACCCCCTCCGGTCTTTTTTCCTCCGGTTCCACGATCCTGCCGGTAGAATTGAAAACCGTCTATTGACACTGGGTAGTCATCTACGTCCTTATTTTATCAGGATTCTTGAACACAGACTGCACACGTGTTCGTATGAATTCTAGATCGGAGGACACTGGTTAAATTATTTTCACTTATCAACGCTATTTCCATAATTCATGTAAAGACCGCATTTTGTTTTATTGCCCTCTGTTTCGAGATCGCATATGACCTCAAAGATGACATAATTTCCGGTGAGTCGTATCGTACGCTTGGCCTTGTGTACACTTTTTCACTGCAGGTCACATTATACTACAAACGCTCGTATCTGACTTCGTCCTCGATTCGCTCGCTCCTTGGGGAACTTCGTAATACGCCCGAACGATAGAGTTAGTGAACTTACCGTTGCTCACCCCGTCTTAGGTGCTAAATTGGTGAGCCCAACTTTGTTTAACCTGTTTTCTTTCAGCACGCAACGAGCTGAAAGTTTTCAGTGAGTCTGGTGCCCCGTACAACAATCCTTTTTTATTTTCATTTTTTAACAGTTTATATTATCTGTTACCTTTTTACCGGTGACCCGACTTTTGCTTACGAAAACCCTCCATATTCAGCTGTTTGCGCTTCGTAATTACTTACATCGTTAGATACTCGTTTTACTCATTTGTTTCTATTGCACTAGTATTATTGTTCGGGCATCCTCACAAATGTATTATTCATTTGTTCTCCTTTTGATTCACACCTTACTCAATGTTCAATCAATTTTCTGAGGGTAGGAAGAACGGCGCTATCGCCGCAGCAGAGGAAACGAGCGTCTTTGGCCTACAAGCCCTATACCTGAATTCATTTCTGAAGAACCAGAATTTTGGATGACCCAGGTCGAGGCCNTTAGCTAAGGTGACCAATCAGTTAGCTAAGCTTACTCAGTTAGTAGGCCACCTTCCTAGGTCCATGGACCCGGGTCTGCGCGATATTGTCTGCAACCCACCATCATAACGCACTCCGCGATGCGATCCTGGGCAGATTCAACACGCCCGTGGAATGCCGTCTCAAGCAACTTATAGACGACCTGCCTCTTGGCGAAAACGGCCTCGACACACCAAAGAAACTACTCAGTTACATGCAGGATCAGGCCGCCAGTTTAACGGTCGATGGAAGATATCCTTCGTTTGTCTTGGTTGCAAGCTCTACCAAGCTCTACCTCTATGCTGCAGTATTTCGGCTAACGCTGCACGCTGACGGAACTAGCGGAAATGGCTGATAGGGTATATGCCGACCAACTGTCGGTTCAACCCTTCACACAGTCAGCGCCACCGCCACCTTCCTCTGACAACGCCGAACTATTGGCCTGTGTTACAACGTTAGTTGCACCGGTACAGGCGTTGACATTGTCTCGTAACCGGCCACGACAACGCCGTCCCACACGCTCCCACCATAGGAGCCGGGGCCCTAGGCGCCCGCGATCACGCTTACCATCGGACGGGATTTGCTGGTACCACTATCGTTACG